ATCAATGACCCACCGGGGCGGGCCAATTTTTGATCCCAGGGTTTTTTTGAAACAAACTTGATAGACCACTCACTAGAAAGATGTTTCATGCCAAATATCTTAAGCTCTACCTCTTTGGGGTTTTTCAAAAGAAGATTTTTTTTTAAAGTTTTTGCTTTACACATATAAGGGGAAAATCAATTTGACCCCCCAGGGCAGCGCCAATTTTGGGACCCAGGGCTCTTATTTTTAAACCCAAATTTAATAGACACCCATTTAGAACATGTTTTCATGCTAAATTCTTAGCTTCTAGCTCTTTGGGTTCTTTAAAAAAGATTTTAATAAGTTTTTATATTATGGCATATAGGGAAAAAATCAATGACCCCTTGGGGGGGGCCAATTTTGCACCCCAGGGCTTTTATTTGAACAAAAGTGATAGACACTCATTAGAAGATGTTTCATGCTGGAATATCTTAGCTCTAGCTCTTTGGGGTTATTTAAAGAAAGATTTTATAAGTTTTTACTATATGGCATATAGGGGAAAATCAATGCCCTCTGGGGGCCCGGCCAATTTTGACCCCAGGGCTTTTTATTTGAACAAACTTGGTAGACACCCATTAGAAGTTGTATCATGCTTAAATATTCTTAGCTCTAGCTTCTTTGGGTCCTTTAAAAGAAGATTTTTTAAGTTTTTAAACTATATGCATATAGCGGGAAAATCAATGACCCCCGGGGCAGGGCCAATTTTTTGACCCCAGGGCTTTTATTTGAAACAAACTTGATAGCACTCACTAGAAGATGTTTCATGCCAAATATCTAAGCTCTACCCTCTTTGGGGTTTTTTTTTAAAAAGAGATTTTTTAAGTTATTTTTATCGGGTTGCCATGGCAACCAGATTTCTGTATGGAATTAAAATTTCAAGTTTTTAAAGGTAAAACCACCAAAAGGAACATTCCTGTGAAGTTGGATGAAATTTGGCTCAGCGTTTATGAAGATGTCATTTAAAATGTAAAAGTTTATGGACCGCCGGCGGACCGCCGGAACGAAAAAGCAATCACAAAAGCTCACCCTTGTGTCACTTTTGTGGGACAGGTAAGCCTAAAAAGGAACATGGCTTACAATTATTGCAAAAATGAATAGCCCATTGTAAAATTTAAACTAAAAAAAAATTCCTTAAAAAATAAACAAAATTTTCCAGTTTTAGAAATGGCAAATTGGTTTTATAACCTTAGAGCATGTTAGGGGCTTCCCAATAAAAGTAGAAACTGAATTTTAAAATTATTTGTATAAAAGTAGCAAAATGTAAAAAAAGATAGTTATTTGTTTTTCATAAAAATATTTAAATCACTCTCTCTCCTAATTGTTAAAGACAACAGAAGAAAAATACCATTAAAGGGAAATTTGGGCCAATGAATAATTTTTTTGGAAAAAATTTGTTCAAAAAGGGCAAAAACAACAAAGTCCTCCGGGGAAAGGGCTGGGTTAAATTGGGCCCGACTGTATCACATTATTTGGTGGGTTTTTATTGTGTCGTCGAGAAAAACTCGGGGAAATTTAATGGGGGTGAAGGTTAGTGTCCTGTAATTTTTCCCCAATTATGGGTATCATTGGTGCCTCGTTTTCGCTAAAAAAATATTACTGAAAAATAAATAAAAATTGAATGAAAGAAACCATGCTTTTTTTTTAAAAATTTGGGTTAAATTTAAAATAAGTAAGACGTTTAAACAATAAATGACTTTAAATGTATTTTGTCATAACAAATTACCCCATAAAAAGTATTTTTTTATCAAAAAAATTTTTTAAAAATGCCCTTGTTTAAAGGACTTGAAAAAGGGGTTTAAATGGTTTAAACCCCCAAACACCCAAATTTTTTTAAAAAAGGGGACTTGTCCATATTTTCAAACTGGCCCAAACCCCACCCCCAATCTTTTTTGGGGAAAATTTGAAACTGAATTTTTTTTAGGGAATGAACAAACTGCAGACCTTGATAAAAAGCACAGTTTGGGGATGGTTTGATCTTGGTGTCCCACTGGTCACATGGATGGAAGATTTAGTTTCCTCCTACCAGGCTGGAGGATTATTTATAACTTTTGTCCAGCTTCGGCTTTTGAAGAGCGACTAACATCAAAATTACAAATGACTGCATAACTGAATACATCTTTTCTGTGAATATAAATAATGTACTCTATGATAATGCAAAAAATAATAAATATTTACCTTCTCTGAAAACATTGCCAGCATACAGCCTCCTGCGCCCTGGGTATTGAGACCGGAGAGAGGTTTCTAGTAGAGTAGGGGTTGAGATACTGGTATATCCGAACCTGCTGAAATAGTAACTATAAATGTCTAAAAACTTTTATAACGACACATGCCATTGTGTATCTTATTATTATTTTCAGACCGTGGCATCTCCATGGCAAACATGGTTAAGGTAACCAAAACTTTAAAGCCACTTCCCAATAATTGCTGTGGTACCCCAATTCCATCAGGGGACTTAAGAATTTTTTTATTTTTGATGGAAATATCGAGCTAGCTAAAGAAAAACTGGTGCGCCCACTCCCTAAAAATTTTATTTTTATTCATAATTTTGGTTTGATTTTGATTTAAGTACTAACTTGATAAAAATCTTTAAAATTTTCATGTTTTTAAAGGTTTTTTTTTTTCCGGGATTTTGGGGTCCTTTTAAACACCCTTTAGTTTAAAACCCTTTTTTAAATTAAATATACATATTTGAAATTATCAACCCCAAAATTGGGGCTGCAGAAAGAAGAAAAAAAAGGGCCTTTTGGGTTTATTTTTGACATAATTTTTAGCATAAACGATATTCAAACAATTTTCAATAAGGGTTTATAATCCTTAAAATATGCCCTGTGATATAACAAATCTGTAAAAATTCAACATTATTTTATCAAGATTTAAGTACACTGACACAATCTGAACATAATCTAGCAAAATTCATTACCTTTCCTTTTTATTTTGACTTGTATTTTTTATATCTTAATACCTTTCTATGAATCGATCTTTTTGGAGTGAACAGGGTTTATAAGTGAAACAGAACATGAGGGAAACAGCCATACAGACCTTGAAAATGATTCACAAAAGAAAGGGAAAATAGATTGGATTGATACTTTTAAATTTCCTACCACTTAGATGGTCCTGAATCAGCACCAAGTCCAGTAGCGCCAGGAGAGACAGCGCATTCAGTTGCTCCTATTCCAGCAAGGGTCTCTAACTTCATGTTCATCATGAGGTCCTAAAAATTAGTAGCCGTCTCCCGCTGGTAAGTGACCATCTAAGGTTTCATACCTACGTCTATCATGGACGTAGCGATCTAATACTTTCACTAAAACTATCACGTAATGCATTAATACGTCTGTTTAAATCATTCATCTCTCGCCGATCTGATCGGTCCCATTGACACAAAGCTATCCCTTAATCGCCACATAATCGTGATTCCTTGGAATCAACTCTTTGGGCTAATAGAGCTCAGCTTGATTATTATTCATGGATATATGTATAGAATTTGTTATTGCCTGTCCTGACTTCTGTGAACGATTTCCTTTCCCTTTGAGGAATATCTGGGATTAACATTTCTATTTGTTGTGTAATTCTCATTTTGGTCAACCACTAATTCGACTTCCATACTCCTGGGAAATTTGACCTAGATCTCTGACCTTGTACACTACCTGACCTTGACTTTTGACTATGAGCACTATCTGACCTTCGACCTTGTGAACTTTCTGAATTTGAACAAATGACCTTGTGCACTATCAACCGAACCTGCTGAAACGTTAAACTGTCTCAGACAAGAAGAATCTGTGTTCCGAATCTAGACTTCCAGATGACCTCTGTGATGAGGATGATGTTGCCCTCGACGCTGGTGTTCTGGATTGGTAAAGAAATAAGCTCCAGACTGACGCAGATTGAGAACTAACTCATTTTCAGTATCACTAGAAGCTTGATCACACTGGAAGTGTAGCTGAGTCACGACCAGAGCTTTGAGATCTCATAGGTAAAGATTCAATAGTAGAAACTTCTTCAGGATTGATATGCAGAACTTTTGACACTGGGGGATTCATACTCGCTCTGAAGGTATGGCCCCCATTAAAGATAGGTAATCTGCCTCTGTTCTGGCCAGTTTTGTAAGGGTTGTGAACGAAACGAGGGTAGGTAATTACGTCCCCTTGATGAACTATTACCCCAGAATTTACACCAGCAGTTTGTGTTACAGTGCTCGAGTTGTGGAATATATTTTCAAATAAAGTAGAATGGCTGCTTGTACTAGCTACAATGGTTGGCCACAATGATTACCACTTGGGGGGAACCCAATTGGCCTAGATACAGTCTAATGTTTGCCTGTCTACTTTGAAGGTACACAGCACTACCACATTTTAGGTAAAGACGCACTTGCATCATCATTAACAGAAGTACATTTAATGCCTTGTAAGATTAGCACCTGTAGTTGTTGTTGTTGTTGTACATGAATTTTAAGCACCTGTTTGGCGCAGACTTGACTTTCAAACAGCCAGTGTTGCCACTCAGTGATGGAGCCCGAGTTACATTTTTGGCCAGTATTGTTAGAATTGAACACATATTTTAAAGCAGTTTGATTCAAACTAGACAGGGACAAGTTCCGATGATGGTTTTGTTCCGGGGACAAAGACCTTGGGTACCTGTATCTGTATGGCTGCACTCATAATTACCAGTAACTTTTGGGTATAACCCGTGGTCTGTGTTAGGGAGTTACCTTTTCCTTTACTACTAGCCAGATGTTGTCTCTGTTGACAGTGGTATTACAAAAATTTGCAGTCTTTCTCTTATACTAGGAAATACTTTTTTCTGTTGATGTGATAGATGACGACGTTGGTTAACTTCGCTTGGGTTTTTTGTGACGGTCTTTGTAAAAAAATCGCGACAAAAGGTAGGGGTGGATGGGGCTTGCCATTGAAACTAATATATCACTTTGAGTCCTAGCTATCGAGGTTTCGTTACATGTCTATTCTTGGTTATTAATAATGGAATTATTTGATAAGTGGTCTGTCTACATCATTAACAGCACTATTTATTTCAGTACTATCATTTGACTCTCCCCTCACAGATGATACTATATTTGTATGTCCGGTATTTGAACAGGGCCTTATATACTGGCCTGTTACAGCTTCGAGTGGAATTTCTACTTCCTCCGTTATATCAATTGCTGGTAACAGATGCCTGCTCAAAGATGGTTCATTAGTTATTCTTCTTGAAGCTGCCACTCTTTGCCGTTCAGTGTTACTGGTGAGTGGATTTAAGCCTGAAAAAAGAAATGGTTGGACATAAAAAAAGGTAACGGGTAATTTAGTAAAAACCATGTCAAAGTCATTTATGCTTGCAGGTTAACTAGAGCAAGGATTCAGCTTAGTTTTGAGTTGATTCTCTATTATTGCTTTGTGATTCAATTTACTAAGGCTATGTTAGCATTAATTTTTCTATATGGAATACACTGGAATACATCCAACTTTAAAGACTCCAAAGCGTCAACAATTTGTGGTTTGACTTCCATTCTTTATTTTAAACAACACATTTTTGTGTTTATATTACACACATTTTGATTGGATATGTGACAGCATGTAACCAATGGTGAAATGCTTGCTTAGAAAATGTTTGTTTAATATCAGAAAGCACATATTTTATCAAAAATCAAATTAAAATACAGCCAAGACGAATCCAGAATAGAATCTTCAGCTCTGAACTGTGTTAGCGAGTAATCACCAAATTTATCGCAGCACTCCTAAGGTTAACTCTTACCCTGCAGAATTTATATAATGAACTTTTCTTACTTTTGTATTTGGAACTGTCCAATATTGATTTTAGAGTTTCAAACTTCAATATGGACATAAAGTGAGAAGTCAACTGCATAGAGTTTAGTTGGACAGTACAGGTGTGTAGGCTAGCCAATATTGTTGGCAAAGAAAAGCATTGATGCAAGCTACTAAGGAGGTAAATGATTGGTTTTCACATATAGAACAGTAAAAAGCTTTTTCAAAAACACATTTCTCTTAGTCAAATAACTATGAGTTAATACTCTTCATTGAAGACCAATCTATCCATAAAGGATATAATACTTTAGATGCAGTGTCTGTCCTAGGAGGGGGGATGGGGGGATTCACTCATATTTTTAAGAATTCCCCCTATTTTTTCAGAGACGAGGAAAATTTTACATAGAGAAAGAAGGAAAAAAATCAACAAATTTAATAAATTCTCCCTTTACGATAAAAATCCCCATCCCCCCCCCCCCCTGTTTTTTAAATCCTAGAATAGACACTGAGATGTAAGTTTAACTAAACATTCAAAGATATTGTGCCCAGACCTATTGAACTAATGTTCATTTAAAACAGATAAGCTGAATAAAACTGTGATCATATTCACAGGAAAACTAATTACCTTCTGTTGGGGTTTCAGCGTCTTGGTTTATTGAGGACAGGAAAGGATCAAATGTTGGATTCAACAGGAGTTCTCTTTCTGATTCTGGCAAGCTGCCAAATACAGACTGCGTGCTTGGACGCAGATTACCAGAACTTTCTTGCACACTTATTCTGGGAAAGTCACTGCCCTGCCATCTTCTTCGGCGTCTTACAAATTCAGGACTTGGTTGGTATCCGGCTGGTCTTAATGCATGGGCAATTTGACTGGCGTATGACACAAAATTATTCCCACTGCCTCGAACTGACTGTCCTATTACAGAGGGCTCATCGGGTCCTGGTAGAGGTGGTCGAGGTGGGGATCCAGGTGATAAAGGTCTCACTAAGCCCTCATTATGGAGGTCAGGCAGCCCATCATAACCTGAAATATAATTTTCAACTTTTACATACTCAGCACTGTCAAATTATCAATTCCAATACTTTTTTTTCCTAAAATTAATTATTATCATTTGTATACTTTTTTTTTTGAAAGAATGAGAAAATATTTCAGAAATTTTTTACTTGATTTCATTTAACATCAACTATCAATGCTGTAAAAAGTATATGCTGTACTGTCGGTTGAAAAATACTTTAAAACGTTAAAAGCGTTAAAACATAATATCCTTTTGATACTACTAAATTTTATGCTCAAATTATCAATGATCAAAATCAATGATAAATATAGTTCATGACAATGAGCTTGACTAAATACAATAAAAAGTCTAGTCACACCTGAACAAAGTTCAATTATTGAATGCTACGCTGTCTAAAACAAATAGTTATAAACCATTTGACTTTTTAATCCTCCCTGAGTAAATATGCACATAAGACTTCGGAATAAAATCTCAAGTTCTCTCATTGGTAAAAAAAGTAAGAAGACACAAAGTCAATACTTTGATAAAATTTCTTAAAACAGATCAAGACATTAAGCATTTAAAGTTTACATGATTGAGTGCCATACCTTGTCCTGTAGGAACATTCCTGTCCACCATACTTCCTATACCTGTTGCTATTGGTAACCCGATACCATCACCAGGTCCTAACTGTGTGAAAAGCCTATCTCGTCTGTAGTCCTGGTAGTAGTTTACAATGTTATTGTACACGGAGCTTAATCTTGATGGTTGACTTGTGGGTGGAGGTCGTTCCTCCCTGAAGTTAAAGTAGGAATTAAATACAGGTCTAATGTATCAGCACACTGTAATATCCTTTATCACAAGAATTTTCATAATGCATGGACAGGCATCTGAGGTCTTCCTCCTCCATTACAAACTGGAAAGATGCTGTATGACCTAAGTAGTGCCAAGATGACTAACAAGAGCTGTCACAGGAGACAGCCAAGCTCGACTAATAAAATACTGGACGATGTAAGGAGGACAAAACTATGAAAGAAAAATCAATTATGTATAATTATGTATTAAGTTATAGTAAAAAAAATAACATTTGTTAACATAAATTCCAAGATCAAGGGAAATAATTCTAGAAAAAGTCATGCTAGAGTTATGAACCTTGTCACACAACATGTGTGTAATGATAAGAAATATATTTGAAGTTTGTAGTAGATACCTTAAAAAGTAAATAAGTTATAATATTTCTTAAAGAAAATCCTAAGTTCAAAGAGAGATAAATCTGTAAAAATTGCTTCAAGAGTTATAAACATTGTCACATAAAATGTAATTGATGATAAGGAATAAGTATTTGAAGTTTGAGGTAGATACCTTTAAAACTAAAGAAGTTATAGCAAAAAATAACATTTTTCTAGTAAAAAAATCTAAGTTTATGGGGAGATAATTCTTGCAATATTGATGCTAGAGTTATGATCCTTGTCACATAAGATGGGGATGATGATAAGGTACATATATTTGAAGTATGAGGTTGATTCCTTTAGAATAAATAAGTTACAGTAAAAAATAGTATTTTTTAAGGAAAATTCTTAGTTCAAGGGGAGATAAATCTGAAAGTATTGGTGCTAGAGTTATGAACCTTGTCACATAAGATGTGGTTGATGATAAGGAACATATATTTGAAGTTTGAAGTTAATACCTTAAGAAATGACAAAGTTATAGTGAAAAATATTTTACTGCACCAAAACTTTAATCTGAAATCTGGATGCAGACGCTGGGGCGAGTAGGACAGCTCTCCATATACTTCGTATAGTCAAGCTAAAAAACTCAACCCACCAACTATACAAACAAAGATGCCACATTTCATGTAGATCAAGAATACCTAAGATCAAGAATACATATCTGGCTATCTGCATAAAGTAAAACTTATATAGTGATACAAGTACTTTATTAAAAAGAAAAACATTTAAACTGTCAACATGATCACTTCCCATAGCAAATTTGTGAATAGTGATTCTTCATTATGACAAGGGCACTAACTCTGACAAAACATATCAATTCACAAGACAAACCCTAGATGCCAAACTTTACATGCTGATCAACATTCTTGTAAAGTTTCATGACCCTATGTCAAATACTTTTTGTGCTACATGTGACATGTGTCAAGTTGAAAATTGCAAATTTTTACTAAGTCAAGGACAATAACACTACAAATACTAAATAAATCTAATCGAAAATACCCAATGGCACAACTACACATGCTGATCAACATTCCAATAACGTTTTATGACTCTAGTTAAAATACTTTTTGAGATATGTGCGACACAAGTTGAAAATTGCAAATTTTTACTAAGTCAAGGGCAATAACTCTGACCAAATCAGAATAAATCCACAAGCGAAACCCCAGGTGTACAAGTTCACATACTGATCAACATTCCTGTAAAGTTTTATGACTCTAGGTCAAATACTTTTTGAGCTACGTGTGACACAAAAGAGAACGGACGGACAACGTGTGACACAAAAGAGAACGGACGTTCTCACAGGACAGTAATTAAGTGGCTACTCTATTGTTCTCTCTATTGTTCTTTTTAGCCACACAAAAGCATTACGGAATGAATGACACCAAAGAGAAAGAACAGTTACCTATTGTCCCTCTAGCCACATAATTACTCTCCTGTGAGTGCGGACGGACAGATGGACGGACAAGGGTTAATCTAAATGCCCCCCCCCCCAAAATATGTGAATCTACTTCTTCAGTTTTATTTTAAGGGAGAAATTTTAGTCAAAAGCTTCAGGTACATGTAGTCAAAACGAGATATTTTAATATCTTTAAACAAATCACAAGCAGAACTTACCCCATGTGAGACACACTGGACAACTGATCTCTATGTACAGATGTATTATTGGAGATCCCTGTATAAAGTGTGTGCCCAACACTGTCAAAATGTATCCATCTGCAATATAATACATATAATAACTTACTTTCATGGACAGTATAAGGTTAAATATGTTTGTTTTTTGTTATTTTTTCATTATGCCGATTTTACAAGTTTTTGGTTGTATCTAGTAACCAGATTTCCGAGTAAACTAGTAATTACCAACTTCTTGGTATGTGACCCACTTCTAATTGACATGATTTCTGAATCAGTGTATCGAGAAAATCTACAGCAAAGAGTAGGGTAGAGCAATCGCTGACTCATTGAAATAAATAAATCAAAAACTTAAGAACAGAAATCCTGATTTAGCATACAACACTGCCCTTGCCTTTTAGGTCTTTTCATATTTCAATTAGGAAATAGTTTAAGTTTTACTATGAAATTAAGTAAATTAATTTTCTATAAATAATATGTAATATTATAAAATAATATCACATATCTATATATTTAAGTATAACATTATACCTGATTCTTTCATAATCATGACTGGTACTACACTTGGCAAACGGTTCCGGTTTTGTCCAGTCCCAGAAGTAGATAGTGTTACCAGCAGCTATGACAAGCACCTGGTCAGTCGGATGAAAAGCCAGTGCAGCAACCACTGAATTATTTTCTGTGTCCCATACTTCACAACCATGGCCCTGTTAAATGATAATAAGAACATAATCATTGTTTGTTTGGAATCACAGAATGTTCAGAGAATTTGAAAACTGAAGTACTGAGGATTTGACCTTGAAAAATTGTCAACTTTAATTTCAATTAATATAACTCATGATATGACCCTGAGAAATCATAAACTTTAAATTCAATTAATATAATGTAACTTGATATAAACTATTATTAAGTGCATCAAGCTCTTTTAAAAAATATCAGATTGCATGATTGTGTATTATAACAAACTGTATATAATTTAACAAAATATTCATAGTCATTAGAATTAATTATTATGAAAAGGCATGAAATGATCTGTTTCTGAAATTTACTTTTTATGTCAGACATGTGGTTCAATATGTAAATTGTTCACCACAAACTATGTATACATGTCGTATACATGTCGGAGAGTTAAGTTTATAAAAATGCAGCATCCAGCCAGACAGGCAAGAAAAGGTTGCCTGAAGTTGGCTCAGACAGTATCACCATGAGACTGGCAACACAACAATTAACATTCCATTGACAAATTTAGCTTATTCATTACAATAATTGTCAAAACCTGTTGTATAATGGAACTAATCAATAAAGTACAAACTTACATAAAGGTCCCAAATCCTGACCTGACCACCTAAACAGCCACTGGCTACAATATTACTGTAGGAGGGATGGTAAGCCAGGCTCCAAGGGGTTCGAGGATGTCCTCGTAATGTGTGCAAACACTTTCCTGTTGCAATATCTGTAACCCTAACAGAATGGTCACCATGTGTTGATGCAACTTTTGTCCTGTAATATAAATCAAGGTAACTACATAATTATTTTCTTACATACGAGGGTTGTCCCAAAAGTCCGTGACAAATTTTATAGCCGGTTCAGTTATAACGCCAATAGAAAATAATTCACACATATAACCGTTAAGTTTATTATTTAACATTACAACAAATCATTTACAAAAAATTTACTCTAGTAACTTGAGTTGCCGGCGCACGTCAAATAATTTACATTTTGTTATGAATAGGCTGAAATTAATTACGTATATTTCAAATATCTGATAATGTGTCTGCACAATGTCACGTTGACTTCCTCTGCTGCTATGTTTAAATCATCTCTGAAAATTTTAGTTAAATAACTTAAAAAACGAAAAAGATACGAATAAATGAAAATATTTCATATAAAATAGGAAAGTTGAAATGGCGACGGTCGAAGAATTTGCGGCGCAGTGAACATGTCATTCAGGTTTCATGACTATTTCGAGGTGACACATGTAACGATTTTCAACAAATAAACCAAATATAACAGTTTAGCAACATATTCTGAGTATTTGTGTACAAAAGGCATGAACAGAACCAGAGTTTTGCGCTACAAAAAGCGAAAATAAGGAAAACACGGATAGGAAGACCGATCTTCGTCGCCTATTTCCTACAGCTAAAAACAGGAGTAATTATCTATGAAAATTTGTGAAAATGTTTAAATTATATGGGTTTATAACATATTAAAATATCAAATTCGTACCTGTTTTATTTAGCTTTTAATCAATCTTGTCACAGAATATTGGGACAACCCTCGTACATCTAGTTATGTTTAAACTTACAGAATCTTGAAAAGTTTTCATCCTTCTTTCAGGGATTTTACTTTTCAGAAATTGCCAGTGGCTTTGCAACTGAGCATGGCTCCCATTAAGATTAAGTTTTAAAATTTAGAAGTCAGAGGCTGAAAACTTCTGACATTGGATGTCATATTATATACATGTAGGTAAAGAAGAAAAAACATTATGTTTTGGAAGTCACAAGCCAACATCAAAAGTAAATGACTCACAAACTAAAAGATGCCCTGACAGAGAAAATAATTGCTAGAAATAATTATCATTAAACAAGTTTCAGAAGTACATTAACTAGTTATTTAGTTAAGACAATTTAGTTGTCATGCATAAATTGTAGCTGTATGTACAAAGCCTCTTCATGTCATCAAGAGTTTATTTTCTGGCATTCATACATTGAAATCACTAAAAATTTGTTTGACTTCATTGACTGTACATGTACAGAATAAAGGAAAGAATGTTTTGGGCTTCGGATAATAGCCTAGCTACTGGACAGTGAAATGCACAAACAAGAGCTGTAAGTAGAAAAACATGCTCCAATACCCTATTGTTTGAAAGTAAATCAAGAGCTTGGATCATGAAGAATTGTAGAAGTTCAAAAACAGCAATAATTCTGTCAAAATCCACGTTGCAGATATGGGACTTGGACAGTGACCAGTCACCTCCTAATACACTCTCAAGTGTGAGAAGAGGCGACCCATTCCATTTATTAGTTTTCGAGATACTTGCACACAAAAACTTGAACAATCTGTGGTGGCGGACTTAGTTAGTACAACAGAGTATAGATCTCCCCATTCTTCAAACAGTTGAGCTAAAAATCACTGTCAGGAACTAAGTAACCATCAATTTTCACAAGAATCAAATAATTTATTCAATAAAAGTTCATTTTCAAGCTATTATAAGATGGCTTTACATACCCATCTGGACTGAACTGCATAACAAAAGTGGCCCTACATTTCCCAGATATCTCAGCAGCCTGGAAAAAAATTACAATCATGTGTTTAGAACTAATACATGCATTATCAAAAATATACTGTACTTAGATATATTGAATTCAAACATATATTAATATTTATGTTTTTTTTTTAATGAAAAAGTATTCCTTCAGTTAACATGATTTAGGCTTTTAGAATAACTGTAGCTGCCTTGCTTACACATGGTATATATTATAAATATAATTTAAGTAAGGGTGGCAACCAGTAATGAGTAATCGATTAATCAAAGATTACATGAGTCAACATTGTCATGACCCAGTCAGGTTTTAAACCCATGATCGAAGGTTGAAGACTCAGACTTTCGAACCACTAGTCAACCTCTGTTGCTGCTTTCATTGTTAATAATAATATATGTACAATGTATAGGTTTGTTAGGCAGCATACATGAAATTCAACATCTCTGAACTTACACAGTTGCTGTTGGGTGACAGATTTAACTGAATTAATATGGATTTGACAAACCTTTACCTACTTTGTAGTTGCAATTATGTTTTCAAGGAGCAAGTATGATGCACTGATTTCACACAATAGTATGAATAATATGACAAATTGTTGCAAAATTACATGTAGTAAACTTAACGTACCACAGAATTTGAAAATTAGAAATATTTCAACCACTAGTCAAAACATACAAAAAGAAAGCTGCATTACAACAAATGTTAAAACAGTTAAACTTATTTCATACATATACAATGTACATGTTACCTTATTAACAAATGATTTTGAGAGTTTCATCTCCAGGAACATTTCCATGTTCCTCTGTGAACTCTTCTTCCTCCTGGACAACCCATATTGACGTTCCTGAATATAACTTGTTACATTCATTGTTCATGCATGCCTGAAATTCCATAAAAAGAGAAACATTTACTATTCAGTATAAAATTGTTTGAGAAATAGGCTACATGTACTGTACATTAAAGGTTCCATATCACAACAAAGACATTGCAGCAATCGAAAGGTGGCACAGATAGCTCAGTTGGTTACACCAGAGGTTATCACTCCTGAGGTTCCAAGTTTGATCCTGGGTTACACCCTTGAGATTTTTCAGAGACACTGTCAGTGTTTCCCACCTACAGGTGCACTGGTAAGAAATCCAGGTAATCCTCTCATGTATCAGTGATAAACAATTGACATGTAAAAGAACCAAGGGATCTATTCAATAAGAGCTAGGGACTGGTTCCTGGATTCCCTTGTATCTCATAGCTGTCACTCAATTCAATTCAATGTATACAATGCAGAGCAACAGATAAGATGCGTATTTACACAATTAATTTTACAAAATAGTTATACGCAATTGTCTTATTTTATATGCGTATAAATAAGATACACAATTGTCGTAAAGATCCGTGTGTATTGTCATTTTCGTCACGTCATCCACTAGTAGTTTCAGACAATATAAATTATTATATAAATTATTTATATGCATGCTATCCGAATATTCCCAAAGGTAATTCAGGGCTTACTATTCGAGAGTCTCTGGTCTTTGATGGTCCCCGGTATCGAAAGACTGCCAAAGTCAACTCAATATCAAGCACGACACTGTAAATTTGTATAATAATCTACTAAGGATAACAGTCTTTACCACGAATATTAAGTCGCTTAGGCCTAAAGAGGCTACGTTTTTGCCTGTTGGGTACTTATTTTTTTGACAAAACCTTTTCATGTATTGGCAAGTCGAACACAGTTGTTCCGTGAACACTTTTATCTTATTTCCTAACCTTTTCACTATGTGATTAAGTAAGATATAGTCAGACCTGTTAGGTTTTATTCTCATTTGAATCATAACTGACTTTATTTTCAAAATGTAGATACGTTTTTTACACAGTATCAAACTGTACATCGCTTTCATTATAACAACATAACAGCTGCTTATCAATGTAGCATTTGATCGCTATTTTACTTTTAACAAAGGATTACACCTACTCCAAGCAAATAAAAATCCAAACCATTCAAAGTAGGCAAACTGTAAATGGTTTTATATACACATTCCTGCCATAGCTTAAATAATAATAGTAATACAACACATAATAAACTATGAAATTCATATCTTCATAATTGAATACCCGTATTCAACTGATCTTAAAATCATATGGTAACAGGTTTTAGAATAGGAAGTGGCTAGCCGTACGGCTAGCCAAAAGTTCTAGCCGTACGTGAGTCACGTACGACTAGCCAGGACACACTGTATTGGCTAGCCGTACGGCACTTTTCAAAAATATATGGAAGGCGAAAGTACATATGTTAATTATGACTTTAAGCGAGGATTTTAGTCAAGAATGTTTACTTTTTAGAGATTAATCGACGTGTTGGCTTCAGTAAAGAATGTACGTACTTTAATTGTCATCTCAAGACGTCGAGAAAAAATAGCGTTTGGTTGCAGTTAAATAACATCAATTGAAATAGTTTACAAAATTTTGATAATAATCCTTTTTTGTTTCATTAAGTTTAATTTTTAAATTGAAAAAACAAACAAAAAACACCGAAAATAATTGTTGTTGGGCTCTGATAATTGCGTCAATTACCGATGGTATAGAAGTTTTTCCATCGTCCATCATTAAGGAAAGTTTGCATTATTAAATTATTTTTTCCTTTTCACCGTTTTTTTAATATTCTTATTATTTATTTATTTATTCCCCTCCGATCATTTTATTCGATCCATGTGCTTAATTAACAGATTTAACAATTCATCTTTCATACAAATCATAAGCATGAAAATTAAGATAGATTATACAACGCTTACTCGTATTCATTTTTTGTGTGCAAAATTGCCGAGCATCTTTATTAAAGTGAACACACTAGGACAAAGGTGGAGATTTGATTAAAATCGTCGTTTAAAGACACAAAATAACATATGCATTTACGACTTCCATATAATTTTGAAAAGTGCCGTATGGCTAGCCAATACAGCTGGTCCAGGCTAGTCGTACGTGACTCACGTACAGCTAGAACTTTTGGCTAGCTGTACGTATCCAATTAAATTGAGCCAATACCTATGTTCAATTCCACATGAAATGATGGGAGTAATACCCATATACCCAATTCACTTTCAAAGCTTATCTGTTGCTCTGCAATGTATACCTTAGTGTAATCATAAACAATTCTGAATCAGTATGATGTAAAGCAATCATAATGCATATATTCATATTTTTTTTTATATTTAATAGCGGACTTCCTCTCCAAAACAGAAGACAGATATGAACTAATAGTTATAAAATACAAGTTCAACAAAATACGAATTAAAAGGAGACAGCATCATAGACATCTTCCAATAAACTATTACTGAAAGTGAAGTTACATATATACTTTACCGAATAGCAATTTAATTTCTCAAACAATCACATAAGATCTCTGTTTTATTGTATTGTAAATGTTACCAATCGATTTATTAGGTATGATTTCATGTTTTATTAAATTCTATGATTATTTAAAAGATTTATGAATGTTAAAGAAATTGAGAATGCTTTCCGGTTTTGTTAAGTATATGTACATTACCGAATAGCACTCGAATTTTCCATAAAAAAAAACCGTATAACCTTCATTGTATTGAATTGAAAAAGTTACCAATAGATTTATTAGGGAAAAATCTCCCTGACATTATTTTTTAATAATTATTATTACGAATAAAAAAGTTTAAAATAGATATTAAAATAGATATATCGAGTGCTTTCCGGTCCTGCACATTCCATTATTGCTTTCCGGTCCTGTGAAGAAAATAATAGTAATACATCACCGAAAAGCACTGGTCCTCTTACCTCAGACATACCGATGGTATGTAAATATTTAAAATGTATGTAATCTAATATATTAATATATTTATTTGTTGTAGGAAGACAAGAGGATTCAAAATAGCAGGAAGGGAAGAACAATAATTGTTTCAGTGATGTTTTTTTTTTTTTTTGGACAATAAACAGTGCCATAAATAAAAATAAACAGATTTAAAACAGAACTTAGCAAACATATATACATGTACATACATAATTGAAAACAAATATGATATTGAAATCAATCAAGGCACACTTCACGCCTCGTTTATTCCACGGGCACACGCTGATTTAATTAGCACATTTAAGAGGTGTTAATATATTTACACAATAGCTGGATGTATTTAACTGTCCAAGATTCCACCGTCACCAAATATCATGTCGAGTATGTCAGTCCTGTTCTTGTCGTTTACGCCGTCGTCTATCAGTGCAAACTACGCAGAGTTTTGTGTAGCTTAAAACATATTAATAGTATTGTTGATAAAAACGGCCCTTTTAAGGGCCCAACATATATTACGAAAGAAATCCAGATTTATATTGTCAATTTGTTTGTCAATAAAGCTTTTTACATATTAAAATATTTTTACAACTTATATAAATATTTAGTTAAGTTTTGAAACAAATACGTGCATCCAATACAACCTGTACAAATTATTAGTTAATTAATTAAATAAATAAGTTACATCCCTCCTGTCACCCCCGGATAAACGACTTGGATCTTTTGTTTAATTATATGGCAAGCCGAAATCAGAATCGGACCAACGCACCAAAAACGACATGAGAGGCCATTTATTAATTTCTTTTATAATGTTCTTATTATGGTAATGGATTAATTTTGTTGAGGTTTATATACAATTTTATTCAAATATGAGTAAATTTTAATAGCACCTTGATATAAAGTTCTAAGAGATTCCGTATATATCCGTTACAAATATTTCTTTTCACGAGTGCCGTAATAATCTTCATTAAACAAAATTAATTTTTATATCAAAAGAGTGTGTAGTTAATTGCAATTTCTAATTATCTAATTTAATGTGCATGTAAAGGACAGTGTCTGATTAATGCAACTTTGAGATGTGCAGGTCGGTACTCTCAATTATCATAATTGTATACAATTTGATTAAATCATCACCTTTGTGTGCTACAATATACAAGGTCTTTAATCAGCATGGAGTAGCACGTGTGATAAACAATACAACAACTACTGTCCTCCACTGATGACCACATTGCTTTTCGGTACACATAGTATGGTCAAAATAAAGACATAACTGAACGAAAATTTATAAGTTTTTCTTTATTTTACATAATATAAAAATATAATATAAAAAAAGATGGTTCAATGCTTTGAATAACTTCTTGGTACTTTTTACACATCATCTTTCTGTCCTTCACACAACCTATAAAATATTAGAAATATGATACAATGATATATGGTATGAGCAAGATTGAAAAATCGTGTAACTAATCATAATATTTTTAAATAAAATAAGTTCAACTTAATTAATCAATTTATAACACTTTCACATAATTAATATGAAGGATTAGTGTGATTAATATAAATATTCGAGTGCTATTCGGTAAAGTAGATGTACTTTAGCATTACCGGAAAGCAATCAATACAACTTTGTAGCAACTTTGAAAATCGCGTAATGAAACATAAAATATTTATAAAAAACGTCATGATATACAGATCTTCAACTACTAAATAGATTGAAAACACTTTCAAACCAATAAAATAAAGTTTTCATGTATTACTTGGATAAACTATATTGCTATTCGGTAAAGTACATGTACCGTAGCAGGACCGGAAAGCACTCGATATATCTTATTTTCCTAAATAATAGTAATAATAATCATAATATAATTACAAAAACGTGTTGTCTGAAAGATTTTGATCTAATAAATCGATTGATAACACTTTCAAACCAATAGAATTAAGTTTTCATGTATAATTTGATAAACAATATTGCTATCCGGTAATGTACATGTATCTTAACAGGACCGGAAAACACTCGATATATATCTATTTTTCTAAATACTCGTAATATTATCAATATATAATTATAAAAATGACTTGTCTGTAAGATTTTGAGCTAATAAATCGATTGGTAACACTTTCAAACCGATTAATTAACGTTTTCATATGTTTTTATGAGAAATTTGAGTGCTTTCCGGTTTTTCGGTGCTATCCGGTGCTTTCCGGTTTTTCTATGCACCGGCAATGTCCTCCTGTTTACCTTTTTTGCTATGACATATGATAATTAAATTTTTCTTTAAGTTTTACTTAAAGGAAACATCATCAAACCTTCAAAATAAACTTACGTAAAAGAAATTCACAAACGATTAAGTTAAGTCGAGGTTCTTGGTCTTCTTTCGTGAAATCATAAGATTTTTTGAATCCTCTGACCTGATTATCCGAAAATATGTTCATCCGAATATCTCTGCGGTTTTTAACAAAACACTAAAATTCACAATATATTTCAAATGATGTCATCAAAAATTAACTGCACATTCTTGGATCCGA